TGTCACTTATGATCTCTTTAGGGTATATTCCCAGTAGTGGAATTGCTGGGTCAAATGGTATCTCTATTTGCAACTTTTTGAGAAAGTGCCACACCACTTTCCACAGGGGTTCCACCATTTTCCACTTACACCAACAGTGAATAAGGGTTCCAGTTTCTCCACAACTTCGCCAGCACTTGTTGCTTGCTGTTCTGTTAAATTTTGCTATTCTGACTGAGGTGAGATGATATCTCTTAGTTGTTTTGTTTACTTCACTGTTAAGGCACCTGGTGTTAGACTAATGAAAGAGATAATAAACATGGGGCTCTGTGGTGTCAGTCATAGAACTCTGCAGAGTAGAGTCCAGAAATGCTGGACACAGTGAGACCCCTGTAGGTCTGTGCTACTAGAGATTCTGTTCCTGATCTTTTTTCTGAGTAATGTGAAATAGTCTTGAACATACTGTGGACTGCCAAGAAAACAAATAGATTTGTCTTGGAGGGGATGAAACCAAGTCTCTCCTTAGAAGTTAGGATTTTGAAGCTCTGTCTCACATACTTTGGGCATGTGGCCAGGAGAGACAGGTCCTTAGAGAAGGACATCATGCTTGGGAGGGTGGAGGGATAGTGCAGGAGAGGCTGACCCCAGATGAGACGGATTGATAAAAGTAACTGAGGCAGTGGGGATTGGTGTGTCAGAATTAGTGAGACTGGCTCAGGATAGGACAGGGTTTAGAACTGCTGTTCATAGTGTCACAATGGGCCACAGGTGACTCGATGGCACATAACAATATGAAAAGCCAAAAGGCACTGAAGTTACAGTGTATGTTATATTGTGTTGTCTTCACTATCATAAGAAAATGAGAACCCAAAAGAGAATGACCTTTAAAGATAGAATGAATGTTAATTGTTGACAGTGCCATAAATGAAAGATGCACTGACACTATAAATACTACATGGTTTAAAGAATAGTGATTTAAATTGAATTCCCATTGATTCTCCCCACACATACACTTCAGGCTATTAGAATTTATTCTTAGAGAGAATTTCAAATTAGACTTCTCTGAAATCACTAACTCTGTCTTAGCATGAAAGATACCTTATGTAGACAATACATAAAGAAGTGAGTCGGACTGTTGCAGTAAAACTTTAGAAAACCAGATGGTGGGTCATAGTTTATCCACCCTTGATGGTAGAGGACCTGTTGCTGTTAATAAACATTTTCTCTTGTTATAAATGTTACTTATTTAGAGTTCCATTCTATTAGTTCTAAGATGTTAAGTTTATACTGGTTAACTTAGTCTGGAAAAAAAATACTAAAATTAATATGATTAATGAAGCTTGTAAAAAATCTAGCAAGAATAGGAATTCTCTTCCTACCTATCCTATAGATTTTAATAAACTTAATTTAGCACTGTGCTCCCAAGTCTGAGATGGTAAAAATTGAAATTTACACAATTACAGCATTTTGCTCCCTAGAATGTAATGAATGACTAGTTCATTGTAGCTTGAGTTGATTTATGCTCTTTTATTACTTAACTTCCTTGGTAACAGTTTGCTTTGATTTTTTTTAGTCTCGACGAAATCTGTGTGAAGAAGCGTTACTAAAAATTAAAGGAGTAATCAGCTTTACTTTTCAAATGGCTGTGCAGAGATGTGTCGTGCGAATCCGTTCCGATTTGAAGGCTGAGGTTAGTATTTCAGGGGTCTGGATATGTATGTTGTGATATTATAGGCCAACATCTGAGCTCAACGTTTGTTCTTTTTGTCCTCCTGTCTTAGGCTTTGGCGTCAGCAATAGCATCAACCAAGGTTATGAAAGCTCAGCAAGTTGTGAAAAGTGAAAGTGGAGAAGAGGTGAGAGCTTTTAATTTATTTATTTATTTTGCTAGGTAAGAGCTTTTTAAAATTTTATTTGTATTTAACTCTGACTCTTGGTAATTCTTTCTGGCCAGCAGATTGGCAGCATTTCCAGCCTGTTAAACGCTAGATACTTAGGAAGTTGAAGAGGAGTATCACAGTGTGCTCTTGGTTGACAGTTAACTCTTTTAGAAAGAGAGAGCTCTTTTGTGGATTTCATAATCTGCTCCTGTGAATAGATCTTTAATCCTGGTGAAGCTGTCATGCTGATTTTGTATGGATATCAATAGACACATTATTTTCTTGCATTGGCATTTAAATATTAACTAGTTTTGCCAACCCCAAAAAAGTTCAAACACGGGGCAAGTAAATATAATGAAAATCTTAGCCTGTTGCTACCATTTTCTTACCTTTGTGAAAGGAGAAAACAGTATCCATGTACCTTTAGCTCATTTAGAGTCCCACAGAAAGGAAAGACAGTGACACTTCAGGGTCCTACTAGGAAAATATACTATTCTGATCTTTTTTCCTTTTAAATTTTATGCTGATTTATTTACAAAGTTTGAATACCTTGTTTTTCCATACAAGAGCCTTCCCATTTCCTTCACCCTCCCATCAAATTGTGCAACCCTATGATTAACATCCCACCCCCTGCTCATCCTCACCCCTCTGCTTCCACCCTTGCCCCCACTTGGATCCGCATACGCATTCTACAACAATGGTTTTATACAGTATTTGTCCTTGTGGGACTGAGTTAGTTCACTCAGCATAATGTTCTCCAGTCCCTCCTAAGTTAGATAATTATTTACAAAATCATTGCTGCTGTGTGCTGTGTAGTATTCCATTGTGTCATAGTTTCTCAATCTGTTCTATTGTGGTTGGACATCTGGGCTGTTTCCATGTTATTGTGATGGTGAATAATGCTGCTGTGAACATTGTTGTACAAGTCGCTGTTTGAGCCTCAGGTCTCATTTTCTTGGTGTATATTCTAAGCAATGGATAGTTGGGTCATACTGAATTTCTTTGTTCAGCTTTTTGAGGACGCGCCAGACTGCCTCCCAGAGTGGTTGTATCATTTTACAATCCCTCCAATCTTTGAATAGACATTTTGCACACTTACTCCAAGCACCTTGGGAGATGAACACCTGAGTTCTCATTTGTGGATCTCCCTTTCTGTGCATGTACAGTGCTCACCAATTGGGGATCTACCTTTCCATAAGTGAAATCTAAAAAAAGAATGTAAATGCAGCAAAGAAATATGACAATTAAAATAAGAGTGAAGTTTAGTTTATATATATGTATCAAATTAAGTTGATCTGTAATAACTTTAGCATTTTCTGTGTACCAGATGTTGGTCCCATTCCAAGATACTCCTGTTGAAGTAGAACAGAACACAGACCTACCAGACTACCTGCCTGAGGATGAGAGTCCCACGAAGGAGCAAGATAAAGCTGTGTCCCGGGTTGGCTCCCACCCAGAAGGTGGAGCCAGCTGGCTGAGCACAGCTGCAAACTTTTTATCCAGATCATTTTACTGGTGACTTAAATTTAGGGCTCAAGGACCGTGTGAACCAACAAGGGGCCAGCGTTCCATTGTTGTGGCGAACTGTCAAGTGCAATTTGCAATAAATTATCATGAAACGTTTTTAGATTATATGATTGCGTATGCTGCATTTTACATTTTATTGGACATTTTACTCCACCAAGTGGTAAAAGGACAGAGGCTACAAGTGGAATTGTATGTGAAGGTATTTTTGATTTTCTTTAATTGCCTCACTTTTTTTTTTATATGGGTCCACCAATAAACCAAACATGTATGTACAGCTTTACATTGTATATTAAGCACGTCCTCAAGTCTCAGGACCTAGCTGAAGAGAATTTTTTTTTAATCAAATTGTGCATGAGTTACTGAACCTTTTTTCTTCCAGTTTTTCTTCATGAAAGTTTCTTGATTTGATACCCTTAACTGAAAGTGGGGAAAAAAAGTGTTTCCCATTACTTGCATTTTGTGCCTTTTTCGTTTTGCCAACCATGTTTATAGAAAGGACATTACTAATGACATTTTGTAAATTATGGTAATCCTTTATGATACGATTCTACAAAAACTTGGCAGTCTAATTTGTTATAATTTTAATAAGATTAACATAAAATCAACTGAGAAAGAGGATGCATGTATATTAGTGACATGCTTTTGGAGACTATTTGAATGTGAAAAAATATTCTAATTTGACCCTTCTTCAGTCTGGTTATCTCAACTCTTTAGAGGTTTGTCGACTGTAATATTGTGTCTGTAAGTGGTCTCTTGGCCTTACTTTGTGATTGTACATTATCCTATGTTAGAAAAAAGTAAATGTAGTAAAGAACTGATAGACTTGAAAAAAAAAAAAAAGAAAACAAAATTGAATGCCTATAATGCCATAGTGCCACTTTGTGAGAGGCTAACCTTAAAAAATGTAAATTAATCTGGTAGAAGCCTGTTGGTGTTTTATTACCTTTCAAAAATGCTTCAGTGATACTAATGAAAAAAGAGGCAAATTATTGCTTATTTTAAAAAAGCTAGCATTGGCTTCTTAATCTTCTCATGTCCAGTCAGAAAAAAAAAAAAAGAACTTCAGTGAAAGTAAGATAAATACATGTGGTATGTTTTGATAGAAAAGTACTTGCTTTGTGAAGTTTCTAAAATATTTGGCAGCTGAATTTTGTTTCGTTTTGAAATCCAGGTAAATTTTAGTGCAAATATGATTAAAAACAAATAGGAAGAAATTAGGATTCTTTTTTCCACTAACATGCAGAGCTCCTATCTTATACTTGGAGAATACAAAATGAAAAAAATTGAACTCGGGAGAGGTTTTTTTGCATTTTCAGCCCATCTCTTTTAAGGAAAAAAAAATACCTTTTGTCCCTGGAGCAGCATTACTGTGGATACCATAACCAGTAAGACTTCTCAAGTTCACTAACCTGGAATGTTCTGAAGGAATGTGCATTGAGAAGCGTATTTGTGGACTAGATATTTGCTGACATTTTTCCCTCTGTCTATGCTCTTAATTCAAATGACACGCACAAACTGACAGTGTAGACTGTTGGGGGCATGTATTGCTTTAAATACATAATGCAATTTGCTGCTAGAACCAGCTGGAAAGAAACAAAGTCACCTCTTTCTGTAGCCATTAAAACAAAGTTTACTGTTCTGTTTTAACAAGTGTGTATTTTGTTTTGCATTGCCACACATCTGCTTATTTAAAAAACAACATCCCTTTGATCGTAATGGTTCAGTACAAGTAGATAATCTAACTTGATGTGTGTGCTAATTTGAAGTGTTCTTTATTCCAGGTCTTATAATGCAGTTAAGGCAACTGTAAAGACATTTTTTTGAAATATATTGTAAAATAATAAAAGGTAAAAAAAACTGAATGGATAGTGCCTTTTTATGATGAAAACATTGTTGATTGCTCTTAAGTCTGTTTATATATTCAATGAGTGGAATATTCTTGTTTCCTGAAATTAAGCTATCTAATTCCTTTCACCTCCCATTCGTTGTTTCCTCAACACCACAATTTCTTCTCTTCAAGATTAGTTTCTGCATCAGATAAAACTCATCATTGCATTTACCACATTTTAGTGAAATTCCCTGTTTACCAGGTATCTGCTTTCTAAGCTCTTTGAGAGTTTAGGGATTTGCGTTGCTAATGCGAAGACTGTGCTACTGGCACTTTGGATTCACCAGCAGCTCCATGAAAGAAACATGGGTTGTCTCTTCTCATCTGGTTTAGAGCCTTGGGGAGGGTCAGCTGTAAGTCAGTTCCTATTAATAGGCAATGAGGTTTTTAGTTTAAGCTCTCTAAGAATACAAAAGTGTCTTTTTCACTATTAATACTGTAGCTGTACTTTATTTGTGGAAGCAGGAGTGTCATCCACTTTTTAAACAACATGCCTCTGGAAACCCTGAACTTGGATAAATGATGATAGTTATAGAAAGACTTAAGGCCTTTTGTTTATAGGGTGCTCAACTCGATGACAGCAACAATAATACTTTCTTTGTAGCAAATACTAGAATTTTTTTGAAGAATAAACGAAGATTCTAAAGCTAAAGAAATGAATGTTGGACAGGTAGGGAAAATTTTTTTCCCAAGGTGTAACAGTTTAATTTATCCTTTAAAAAAAATCTTTTTGTGCTTTTAAAAGTTTACAGAGCAGGTTGATTTTTCCATGCAATCATTCCTATAGATTTTGTTCTGTGGCCTTACTTACAGGCCCCACATTGTACAGCACTATTCTCATCTTCTCCCTACAATTTTCATTCATCCATTCTGCTCCTGCCTCCCTCCAGAGCTTTCTCCCTGGACAACTACTGGCCTTTGGATCTTACATGGTTTTAAGGAGTGAGCTTCTCCCTGTTACTGTTCACTTTATATGTGTATTTATTGTTTGGCTGAAAGTTGAGCTACAGAGTTTAATTTCATTTTAGGCTGAAGGAATTGCTAAAGACTGTGGTCTTGAGTGTTCTACCAGTCTGTTGTACCAATATTAGACCAGTAAGCCTGATCACTATTTTCCTCTATCTTGCTCCCACTTTTATTAAAAATATGTTTTGAAAGGTACGTAATTTTTACTGTATTGAATAAAAAGATAATAATGAGAATTAGTACAGGAGTATATAGTGTGTGTGTATATGTATAAAGTTAACATGGCTCTGATTATCTGTTCTAACCCTAATTTATTAACTCTGATCTCAGCCATAATTTACTATGTGATATGTGTGATTTTAGACAAATAATCTCTAATTCATTGTTAGCAAAATGGAGTTATTTATATCATGGACCCTTTATGGATCCATTGAATCCATTAGTGCTTTGAAAACCAAAAATTTATAAATACAAAATGGAATTGTAGCCGGTCATTTGACATGACTTTGTTTTTTATTATCAAGTTAAATTATAACTTCAAATATACTTAATTATGTAATTTATAGTGCAGATTTATAACATCCTCTTTCTAGACTGAATCAAAGAAGTTTTTTTGATGGCAAGTGCTCAGCCCTTTGCTTTTGATCTAACTTAAGATAGACACATTAGTCTGTTATTAGGATTCTGTAAATGACCTTTCAGTGTCCTGAGCTCTGCTAGCCTGCTGATTCCATTGTTAGTATCTTTTACAAGATGATATTACAACCCTTCTTTCCCTCCTCTTCCCCCACCTCTTTAACATATTTATTCTCATAGCTCTCACAGTCACTGGTAAGGAGCTTTGCTGGCAGCCCAAAGGTACACAGTTCAAATCCATCAACTGTTCTGAAGGGGAAAGGTGGACAGTCTCCACCCATGCAGTTGACTACCTCTGAATACCGCTGAAGTGTCACCTGTGAGTTGAGTCTGACCTGATGGTACACAATAGCAGTTAGAAGGCTAGTGGCCCCAATTCAGGGGGTAGTCTTTGGGAAAGGTCCTCTCTTTTTGTTGGTTTTGGAGGAAAGTCGCTATTTCCTTCATCTGTATTCCTACCATTCCCTGGAGACTTCAATGGGTCTTGACATTCTCCAGTATTAAGAAGCTTCATTTCACTTGGGCCCAGTCTAAAACATGTTCTGCTGGCGATTATTTCTGGGTGATACCCAGTGTCTTATATACTCAGCTCAGTTAGGAAGTGTTCCACCTTCAATCTGCTTACAACTATTTCACTTTTGGGGGAACATTTCATAGCTCCTACTTCCTATCTTTAAATATTTTGAGGGGACACAGTTAAATTTATAAAAGTCTACTCTTTGGCCCCCCAAAATTGATATTCTTGTTACGTACAAATTACTTTTACCTAGATCTTTTATAAAAAGTTTTAAATCAACTCCAAATTCTTTCCTGGGGCAAAATTCCTCTTCATGTATGAGTATAGAATGGAAGTTATTTGCTCTTAATGTACAATAGAGAACTCTGGTGGCTTAATGGTAAGGAATTGTGCTGCCAACTCTAGGGTATGCAGTTCAAATCCACCACCTGTTCTGTGGAAGGATAGGCATCTCCTCTGTATTTTAATTGTCTTTGAAAACTTGCTGAAGGGTCAGCTGTGGGTTGGTTCCAACTCCATGTAAACCACAGTTGTTCTAAGCAGTGTATTGCTTCCTTGTGTTCACCCTTTAGGCCTGTCTGTCGTTTTCTAGGAGTAGAGTCATGGGGTAATTGCAGTCCTCTGCTTGAAGGGTGACCAAGGTCTGTAGTCCTGGGGGTGGTTGTGAATCTTGGTTGATGGGTATCACATATATTTTCTCCTGTGTATTTATAAATTGTCCAAATTAACAATATTAATCCAGAACACTAGGAACAAAAATTTCATCAGAAAGGCAGCTATTTTCTTTGACGTTTTAGTATATTATGGCTATTATTTCTCTTTGCCTATTTGATAGAAATGCATAGCTTGCTTTTAAAAGTGCTTTTGTTTCTGTATAAAATACTTATTAGTGCTTACTGTAGAGGAATGATACTACTTAATTTTATTTGCCAACATTTTCAAAACAGTGAAGACATATCATTGACCATAAAATGGAAATAGCAAC